TACCCCAGCTTTAACCAGAAGAGTAATTTTCACGGCACGTTCATTCCACAGCCATCGGATCCACATCAGGTGGCCCAGAGAAAATTGCTCATCCTTTTCTCCTTTAACTGCAAAATGCTCTAGGAATTGTCTGCATGTTGCTTTTAGGGCAAGCCACTTGCCATTCAGATATATTTTTGTCTCCTTCTGCTTCATTAGTACTGTCTGTGTTATACTTTATCAGCTCCTTGATTTCCTCCTTTATTTTAATACCCATTCTGGTTAGCAGCAATAGAAGTATAGTGTCCATTCAAGGGAAATAATAGTACTGCTCTATTCTGTGTCCAGTTCTGAGTGCCACAATTTAAAAAGGATATTGACCAGCTGGAACATGTGCAGACAAGGGTGTAGACCAAGATGATCAAGGGTCTGGATTCCAAGCCTTATGTGGAGCAGTTGAGGGAGTTGGGTATGTTTAGCTTGGAAAAGAGGAGACTGAGAGGAAGTGTGATAGCTATCTTCAGATATCTCAAGGGCTGTCACAAGTTTTCTTCTGCGCGGGGGGACAGGACCTGAACCAATGTCATCAAGCTACAAGAAATGAGATTCCAACTAAACCTCAGGGAGAACTTTCTGATGGTAAGAGCTTTTGGACAGTGGAATGGACTCCCTCAGAAGGTGGTGGACTCTCCTTCATTGGAAGGTTTAAGCAGAGGTTGGATGGCCATCTGTCAGGGATGCTTTAGTTGAGATTCTTGCATTGAAATAGAAGACCCATGGGATCACTTACAGCTCTAAAAAAAATTCCTTCCCATCCCTCTCAGAAAAAACAACAACCTATGATTCTATGCATCAGAAATCTTTTCCTCAGAGAGATGGCTGTATTGGTCTGATCCTCTTTCACATTGATGATTTTGAAGATAGAACCTTATTTACACCATGTTCTAGGTGTTCTCCAGTAGGAATTTCTGTGACCCATTTCATTCCCTTGAGACTTTGATGTGTTCCCAAAACTTGGTGTACAGCAAGAAATTAACACTAAATTCTACTGATCTTAAAAAAAAAATAATTCTCAAAATTCTAAAGAACTGTAGAGAACAGAATTTAAGAGTGGAAAAGTGAGAGAAATCAAAATGGTCAGTTTTGATTCTCAGCCCTATCTAAGTCCTTTGACTCTCGACATACATCTGTGACCCTAGCATTCAGTGTTGATAGCTGCAACCTTTAAGTTTCTGTTGTGCAGCTTCTTTTGGTGTTCTCTATGTATATCAAAACCTGTTACATGGCTTGTATTCTAAACCAGAGACTCTGCCTGTCAGCTTGTCAATCACTTTCTTAATGATGGAGATTCAGGGAGACGTTTCTCATTTAATTTCCATCTTATAACTTCCCAAATATGTAGGAAACAAGCTCTCAAAATCACCTTTTGTCAATTTAGTTACCGGTATAGGATGGAGGGGGGGTGGGTAGCGAGCATAGATCAGTGCCATCACAAATCTTGAGCAATACTCTGCATGTTCCAGCACTTGCTTGATGCTACATCTCTTGAGTGTTCATAACTGCAGAGATGCTTACCATGCTTACACAGAAGTTTGGGACAACACACTGCCATCTTGAAAGACTTTCTCCTCTAAGAGACACCCGATTCTTAAGGACAGCCTCCCTCAGCTTTAAGCTGAGATCCCTTGACTTTACCTTTGTTCCAGTCATTTCCACCTTCACAGTGATTTGCTAAGCAACTTTGTTGTTGTTGTTTAGTCATTTAGTCGTGTCCGACTCTTCGTGACCCCATGGACCAGAGCACGCCAGGCACTTCTGTCTTCCACCGCCTCCCACAGTTTGGTCAAACTCATGCTGGTAGCTTCGAGAACACTATCCAACCATCTCGTCCTCTGTCATCCCCTTCTCCTTGTGCCCTCCATCTTTCCCAACATCAGGGTCTTTTCCAGGGAGTCTTCTCTTCTCATGAGGTGGCCAAAGTATTGGAGCCTCAGCTTCACTATCTGTCCTTCCAGTGAGCACTCAGGGCTGATTTCCTTAAGAATGGAGAGGTTTGATCTTCTTGCAGTCCATGGGACTCTCAAGAGTCTCCTCCAGCACCATAATTCAAAAGCATCAATCCATCAAATTGCCCAATGTGAAGAAGGTGAGTTCAGCTTTGTAGATTGTAACAAATCCTTCCCATCCCTCTCAGAAAAAGAAAAAAAAAAACTCTTCTGAAAGCTGTGCAAGCTTTGCAGTGTTTGCCTTTTAAGATATTTGAGGCTGCAATCCAATACTCTTATGTGGAAGTCCCATTTAACTCAATGACGCTTATTTCTAAGCAGGCCTGCATAGGACTGGGTTTTAAATTGCTCAGTTTATGCCGCTGGAGAGCTCAGATCCAAGTGCCAGCAGGCAGACCTTGTAAGACATTAATGAGCTGTCTTACCACTCAGGTTTAGCAGCCTTCTTTGGAAATAGGAAATGTGCTGGTTGCTGCGTACAACCAAAACAGATTAATTCTTTCTGCAGTTCAGCATTAGAGTATGGCAATTTGAAACGTCTTCAATGATCTGAATACACTGTTTCATTATTTTCAGTTATTTATATACATGCAAATATGAAAATATCTATCCTAGTTTTCTTGTTTTTGTTTTAATTGTGATGACTCAGGACACCTTGCAGCCCACAAGTTAGAATATATTTAACTAGCAACCAACAACAGTTAACCTGTGGATGATATAGGCCCCTGGTCAAATCACCATGGGTTCTTTTGAATTATGCAAGAACTGTATGGCATAACAAAATGGACTGCCTGTTTTGCATAAAGAAAATTGTTTTGTTTTTCACGGGACAAGACGTCCTCTTCCTCTGTGCCTTTTATCGTGGTTGTGTGGGGTCCAGTTAGCTTCTTGTCTCATAGCCTCACTTTAGAGGCTGCAGCAGCTTCGCGGTGCCATACGCATCATTTGCAATGTGCTTCAGGATAAAACTGGCCGGGCTTCTGGCAACAGCCAACATCTTCAAGGCGGTATATCTTTGAAGGTACGGCTGCATATTCTTTGCTTTGTAAAACTTAGCTGATATGATTTAAGATGCCTGCAGCTGCAGGCAAGATGCCAAAGTATTAAGTGTTCAAAATGTCCCTTGCTGCCTAGGCCCTTGGCAAGATGTATACAGCTTAACATTTCTGAAATCTAAATGCTTGTTTTATGCACAAATGATGAATCCACCGCTTACCTGTTATTGATGTTGAGACTGCCAACTTCAAGGCTATTTCAAGTAGGATTCTTTCTAGTTATCCAAGTTTAGTTGTTTAACATTAAATGTAGTTATAATATTTAAAACATAAACATAGTTTTGGATTGCGGTTTTAAATTGCAGCCTAATGATGTATAGTTTTACTTGCAACTCTGTTTTCTTTTCTCCTGTTGTTTTTGGTTCAAGTCAAAATTGGTACTCTTATAACTTGAAAGTGTATAAACACTGCCCTTGTTCTTCAGAATAAAACATTGTGTCAGCAGTTTCACAATTTGCCAGTTACTCATGTCTTTCCCCAAAAGCAAGAACTTGAGAGATAAAGAGAGAATGATGATTTTGCCTTTATACTGTTAGCTTTCCCCACGTGGAAATGCAGACGTTCAAAAATTTCAGATCCAACTCCATTTTGAAAATAATGTGTTTTAAAAGTCGTAGACATAACATCTAAAAGAAACCAAAAATACTTTCCCGTATATTAGGTTGTGTTTGCAAGATAACTGGTTACATAATTGCTGTTTAAGTTAACACTTTCAGTTTTCTTTTTTAGTTTCCAATTTTCATGAGGCGCCACAAAATTCTGCTGCTGACATATGGCATGAACTTGTGCTAGATATCCCCCTGCCCCCGGCAAAAAATCTGGAAATTGTGGAAGGGGTGGAATCATTACCCATCCAAAAAGCTGCATTGAAGTTGGGTTGGTGGGAGATGTTGGCAGAATGGTGTGCTTAATTCTTTCCCTATCTATTGTTACTTTAGTCAAACACAATCAGCACCTTTTCACCTGCAGGTATTCAAATGCATGTTCACATTTGACAGGGAAGATTTATGTGTAATTCTCTCTCAGTCACGTGTGACCTCTCTGCAAAGTGTTAGAATCAGAACTATACCTCTGCTTATCAAACACATGTATACCAGGACTCGAGGATTTGGTCACTGGAGTGAATAGAAGCAAACTCCTTGACCTTCTTACTATTAGCTGCTCCCAGAGGACATGAGGGGAAGAGAAGGCCCCTGACTAACAGGCAGGACTCAGCACAGTTGTGTGTGAGAAGGCTAATGGGGACTTTGATTCATATATTTCCTTCCTATCGCTGTCCTAAGATATTTACTTAGCTGCCACAGGCAAATAAATAAATAAAACTTCTGGGTAGAATAAACCCCTTTCCCACCAGTCATATTCATCTGCTCACCCACCTGAGCAAAGTTTAGCCACGTCTGCGCAGGCGCAGATGCAATTTCTGGTGCTGCAGAAGCGAGTCCCCATGCCGTGCTGCACCAGTTTAGCGCAGCGTGTGAGCGGGCGGCTCACTTTGGGGTGGCTCGTGGGCCGGTCAAATGACCTCCGCGGGCCACTTCCTTAGGTTGCTGACCCCTGATCTGAGGGTCTGACTTTCTGTTACCTTTATCATGTGGAAGCTTCCAGAAATAGATCCACTGTGCCATAATGTGTAACATACAGAGCACCCCCAGATTCTTCTTCTTTTAGTGAAGATCTTCCATGCCAGGAACGGGGGTTTCTAGAAAGAAAGAAAAAGCTTTCTAGGCAAGATAGGTACATGCACTCAGCATTGAGTACAATTGAGGCACATTATAATTTATAAAATGATAATGTGAAGGTTGGCACTTTGGTGAGACATCTTGTGGAGCCTGTTTTGAGTGGTCTGTGTATCAGAAAGAGTCTGTATGTCCCTGTGAGTACCCTGAATCTTGTGTTGCCTGGAGGCAGTGATGGACTGGAATCATAGACTCATAGAACTGTAAAGTTGGAGGGATCTTTCCCCCAACATTGGATTCAAACCCACAACCCTGAGATTAAGAGTCTCACACTCTCATGAAAACTGAGTTATGTTGGGAGCCATGGGAGCTAACAAGTTGAAGCTCAATCCAGACAAAACAGAGGTACTGTTGTTGACAAGCTAACCTGGGACTGGGAGTATGGCTTTTCCTGGATAGAGTACACTCCCTCTGAAAGATCAGTATTGCAGCTGGGGAGTGATCCTGGATCTAACTTCACTCCTGAATACCCAGGTGGCTTGGGAAATGTTCAGAAAGTGCAGCTTGGGTAAAACTCAGCAGACGAACTGCTTCCTTGGTCAACTGTGCTGGCTTTCAACTCACTTCTGGGCCCAGATAAAGGAGCTGGTACCTACCTATAAAATCCAAAATGGCTTGAGGACAGACCACCCTCTCCTATATATGAATCTTTCCCAGCCTGGTGTCCTCCATATGGTTTGGACCACAACTCCCATCAACCATGCTGGTTGGGAGTGATGAGAGTGGTCTGAAACACCTGGAGGCACCAATTTCAGAGACTTGTTTTACGCGCCCCGCCCCAAGAGGTTTAGTTGGTGGGAATGTAAGATAGACATTTTCTGTAGCAGCCCTATTAGGGTGGAATAAGGCAGAAAGATCAGCGCAAGCCCTGGTGACCTGAAATTTAGTTCAGCAGTGAAAACATTCTAATTCTTTGTGACTGTTTAGGGTTCTTACTGTATCGTTGGGTAGTCTTAACTCTGTTTATTTTGATTTTAAGGTTTTAGTTTGCATTTTATTTTTTTACTTGATGGGTGTTGAGCAGGAACAGAAAGGGGCATGGCCCAGGAGGGTCATGTGGCTGAGTGTGAGTCCAAAGCGTCAGAAAGAGAATCCTGGAGGGCCACATTTGGCCTTCCTGACTGAGGTTCCCCACTCCTCCCTACACCCACCTGAGCTCTGCAATATAGTCCGTTGTCCTGTGGTGAATGTTTAGGACTGTCAACCAGACACCATGTAAATCCATTTCTTGTCTCCTGGGCAAACGATGTTCTGCCCAGTAAACAGACATTGCCAGGAAGAGTTCCGGGCAGTTGTAAATTAGTTCAGTGGGACTTTTTTTCCAAGTAAGTGTGCCCAGGACTCCAGCCCTCATTTTCAATTAAATGATCTTGCTTAGTATCAGAAAGAACTAAACTAAACTAAAAATAAGAATCCATTAATCTCCCAATTGCCTCTCTTTGTTTCTAAACTGATACCCTTCTGCAGCATGAAACACACATTACCGTAACTGCATGACCAAAAGCCTGGTGTTACACTTCAGAGAAGAATGGAGGCAATCTTTAATTTCAATCTAGTATGTATGAAAGTGTTTGCTTGCCTGATTGTAAAATGTGTTTCCTGCGTTTCCACCAAATGGTGCTGCTATAAGCAATAAATTGGTATGCACGTTTGTTCAGAAAACACACAGTTACACAATGCAAAATGTGATTTAAATTAGTCTGCCCTGTTTCAGGACCAAAGTTAAGCCAGAATCAATGAAGGCTGAGCTCTGAGAATCCTGGGAAGGGCGGAAGATGAGTGGTACAGCACAGCCTTTTCTTTTTCTTTTTTTGCAAAGGTTCCCAGCTTCAGGCCCTGCCTTTTCCACACAGGGCTGGAATGCACCTTGGAGAGCCACTGCAAGTCAGTGTAGGCTGGATAAGCCATTATTTTGACTCATTAAGGCGGCCACTTAACGTTCTTTTGTTCAGCACCTTGGCTCAGTAGAGAGGAGTGAGTGAGTGTCCTTGGTCACATGCAGAGTGGCTTCCTTCCCCAACTGAGACACCCAGTTCTAATATATCTGAAATGAAAAGTAAGGCATCATAGTATGGGCATTTATTACTATCAGCCAAGCATCAGGATTCAAAGCCAGACTCGGATCCTGGCATTTGCACACATCTATTTTTTAAAAAATAATGCTGATTGTATATTTTTTAAATGCCTGAATTTTAGGAAACACACATATGAAGCATCTGGTACAGGTTCAAGCAGAGATGGGCTATAGGGGCAACAGGTGTGAGGTGGTGTTGTGGTGCTCCTCTTCCTTAACGCCCAGATGAGCTGCAAGCTGTGCTTGCCTATCGCTGACTAGAAAGCGATTTGTGCACACTGTGCGGTGCTTGATAAAAGCAGCACTAAGCGTATCTCTGAGAAGTACACACATGCCAGTCTCCATCGCAGCAACCCGTCCCTCCCATGGATCATTGCTATTGCAGAACGAAGGCAAAGGAGAAAATACAGTGCGGGAAACAAGGAAGGGGAACAATCATCTTGGAAGCAGACACCAAAGAAGCACAGCGACTCATTACAGAGCAAATTGGTTGCAAGCAGGTGGCTGAGATTTATGGGAAACTGGCCCCCGCTCCCCCCAGTTCCCTCATGCTCAGTGTTTGACAAAAGCCGTCTTCCTTGCAGCCATTCAGTCGTGACATTTTTGAAGCCTCTCTTTTCCTTGTCAACATGACATTGGACAGAAAGCCTTTCACAGTGTAGAAGGGCTGTGAGTGTGGCTGTGTGGCTGTGCCTCTGAGAAAGCAGGAGAGCAAGAGAAATTAGATAGACTTTACATGAAGATGCTGGAAGCTGGGTGCACATGAGACTCCACTGGCCTCAAAGCAGGGGCTTAATCAAGGCAGATGCTAAGTGGGAATTAGCCCTGGCAGCCAAACACTTGCCTTGTAATTAAACCCAGCTTCTATCTCAGATCCAGTTTTGAGGGGACATTTTTCCTTGAGTTGGGTCTTGTTGGGAAGGGGCAAAAAAGAACCACAAATTGCTGCAAAATGGGAAACGGGCAGGGATAAATTTCTCAGAATTTCATGGAGTGAAATTTCTTTCTATAGAACTTTTTCTCCCTGCCACCAACCACCACCTTTCTTCATGGTGGCAGGGGGTGAATGATCCCTAAACAATGGGGCTGGAATTTCATTCCACCAGTGATTCTCCTCCCATAGTGAAATTCAACCCAGGGATAAAGGCCGAATGCTGAAAAAGCAGGTTGTTTCCTATTAACACATGAATGGATCTGATACTGAATCAGGCCAAAGGCCTATTTAGCCCAGCATTCTTTTCTCACTGTGCCCAACCAGGTGGCTATAGAAATTCCAGAGGCAGGACATCAGCTCCGTGGCATCTTCCTGCTCATGAACCCCGTCAGCTGGCATTCAGTGGTGTGTTGCCGCTGCATCATTCATTCAACTCACAATATTCACAGAGAACTCTTGGCTCACTTTCAACTGCTTTACATGGTCATGGCAAATTTTGGGCTGAACAGAGAACTGGGTAAGTGAGGAAGCTACGACTGCCACTTCACGGATGCATACATTCTGAACAACCCCTGGCAAAGTCACATTAATTGGTTCTAGAAGAGAAGAAGAAGAAGAGTTTGGATTTGATATCCCGCTTTATCACTACCCGAAGGATTCTCAAAGTGGCTAACATTCTCCTTTCCCTTCCTCCCCCACAACAAACACTCTGTGAGGTGAGTGGGGCTGAGAGACTTCAGAGAAGTGTGACTGGCCCAAGGTCACCCAGCAGCTGCATGTGGAGGAGAGGGGAATCGAACCTGGTTCACCAGATTACGAGTCCACCGTTCTTAACCACTACACCATGCTGGCTCTAAGCTCTTAACAGAATTGTAGAGTTGGAAACAATCCTGAGGGTCATGTATTCCAACCCCCTGCAATGCAGGAATCCTTGGCCCAATGTGGGGCTCAAACCCATGGCCCTGAGATTGAGTTTCATGCTCACGGTTGTTATATTCTGAGTTCTTTTGACCGTTTTGGCTTTTGCGTTCACTGTATGTTTCTGTATAGAGCTGTGTCACCAAAAGTAGTGCTTCTCCTGTTGCTCACACCATCACTTAATATGGCTAAAAAGAGACAGATGAGTCAAATGACACCACATGTCAGGGGCTTTTGACTTTCTTCAACAAACAAATGAACTCTAGATAACTGCTGAGTCATCCTGTGGCTGAATGGACATGTGAATCAGGACAGGAGTTGCCATGTCAGGATAATGGCTCATGTAAACCGGACTTGAATGACAAATGAAAAGAAATGCCCTGGGGAAGGAGACACAAATGGCACCTAAGTGATCGATGCCCAACCCTACAACTGAAAGCTCCCCCAGTTATAGTGCTGAAGAGAGAAAATGCATTTTGGCATACCAGAACAGCAAAGAATCTTCAGCTTCAGCCGTCGTCCTTGATGGAGAACCAGGAAAATAACAGAGAAAGGATATATTTCCTTTCCCCCTCCAATGACTGGAAGAACTCTGCAGTGATTCACTCTGTAACACAGCACACCTCAAGTGTAACACAAAATGGCAGCAAAGATAACTTTGCTTTATTCAAAAGAGAGTTTCAGTTGAGACAGAATGACGTTCCCTGTCAGATAGCAGCTATCACCATATGCCACTAGCGACATCAGTGGTTTCATATTCAGAATGAAGATGCTAAAAAAAAAAGTCAATACATATTTCTGACATTTGACTGCACATTGTTTTGGCCCTGCAAAAGGCTAAGCAGGAAGAAAAGAGACTGAGGCTGTGATCCGAAGCACATTGACCTGGAAAGAGGTCTCATGGAAATCAGTGGGGTAACAAAATCAAATAAACATATTTAGGAATGGCAGAAGAGGGGCAGAAGTTAGATCACCCTATGCTGGCTTCAGATTCCAGGGGTGCAACTTCTCTTTCTAGCATCTCCTCCTTGTTCACAGACTCTTCAAATCTGAGAAGTAATCAAGACTGATTCTTGTCACATCACTGCAGAGTTTATGTGTTGATCTTAGTCTGTAGCAAAGGCATGCACATAACGCCATGTGTATCCTAGTGTTTATTTATGAATAATGATCGTAAAATGCTAGGCGACACATTTAATCAAATAGCCCAAGATTTAAGTGGACTTAGGTTGCAATAGTATGCACTCTTGCCTGGAAGTAAGGCCCAATGAATTTAATGGGTAGACATGTACCCATTCTGAGTAGACATGTATAAGTAGGCATTTGCTATTAAATCGCTGAATGTTTTCCTTCATCCCCCCTCCACTCTGGCC